CTTAAGTTACATAATGACATTCACAAACTTTGTATTTTATTTAAACAGTCGTAAGCATTTCAAGGGATGAAGCTAGTAGTAAAATATGTACAATTTTCTAAAAGATAGTACACCTGTTTTGCACACTGATTTATTTATAAACTCTGTATATCATCTCTCTGCATTGCAACCTAGGTTGATCTCTGGAATAAACTGTGAGGCGCTGGCTGGCAGGATTGTGGAATCTGTATATGCGTCACCTAGGTTTCTTACCTACACATACAGTAAGTGAGGAGTGCCAAAATTTGTGTCAGGTATGGAGGAAACAAACTTAATTGGTTTTCTCAGGTGATGATCAGTTCTGTTCTGGGTCCTGGAGCCTGAAGGCCTTGTAGAAGTTTGGGTGGGATAAAGCCTCCAGTGCTAGGTCGACACCTTACCTGCAAGTCAGTCACTATTAGTGACTATTTAGCCAGGTGTCCACAGGACTTATTATATCTGAGCTGGTTGATGCTAGAGGCTCTACCTTACTCATTCTACTGTGAAAGTCTGCTGCTGGGTGAAAAGGTTGATTGCTGAGAGAACACTAAAAACATACAAGAGCTGCCTATTTGTTTTGGGAAACCCATCAGTCAAGAAATAACAAGGTTTACAAGTTTAATTAGTAGCTAGGATGAGCAGATTTTGTTAATGCTATAGAGACCTCCTATATTAAACTTTGTTTGCTGACTTTCTGAATACAAGTGCAGGACATACCTGCTTGGATTGTTCCTGAGTGTCCCTATCTTGTGCATGGTTTACCACTGCCACTACCAGTTGACCATGCTCCCCGTACACATTATAATCTATCAATTCTAATACTTGCCAGTATATCTGAGCAGCGCCTGAGAGTTTTTAGGGTGTTGATGTCAGATTATTTGGGGATCCAATTCCCAGTGAACGCAAACAAGTGATTATAGACATATTGACATTGTCCTCCTTATGAAAATGCTAGTCCCCTAGTCACTATGCTTTAATATTTTGAGTCAATGACTTGGAACAAATACACTGATAAGGAAAAATCAAATAAAAATCAGAAGTCCATATGTGCATATTTGTTCAGGGTCAACTCAAAGTAAAGTAATAAGGCCAAAGGGTAAGTAGAATAGCTGGGGCAGTGTAAGAACAGGGTTTGCCACAAGGCAGATAGAATCCCTCCTAGGCCTGATTTACAATGAACACAGATGTGGACAGCAGGTCACTGTCACTGTGTTGCAGCTATCACATTTTGGGGCAAGTGTTGACAATAAAGATAAGAGTAACCCCTTAGAAGTATGTATGCTACCTAACAGTCCTAAAAAATGTGCCAAAAACCTGAGAAATGTTCTGAATACCAGCTTTAAAAAAATTAGGTTGTAATGCTTACATTATTTAATTTTAATATAGTGGATGAATTTGGTAACTATAGCTGTGGATACAAGTTCTAATGACATTCATTGGTGTGCTGTGTATCATATATCTTCTATGTTGAAAGCCAAAAGGGCTCCTGTGCAAAGGCAGCAGTTGTACCATATAGGATAGTCTGTAGCCGCACATTGGCTTCTTTAACCAGTTGACATCCGCGGTGTTAAACCCCCTTCCCATCCAGGCCATTTTTCAGTATTCAGCGCTGCGGTACTTTGACTGACATTTATTCCGTCATGCAACGCTGTACTGAAATGAATTTTATACCCTTTTTTGGGAACAGATAGAGCTTTCTTTTGGTGGTATTTATTCACCACTGGGGTTTTTATTTTTTACTATATTAAGGAAAAATTACCGAAATTTAAAAAAAAAAAAGTTTCCCCTATATTAAATGATAAAACATTTATTATTACCCAATTAGTTCCTTTTTTTTACAACGGGCGGACGGCAAGTGGTTAATGCGTGCAAAGTACAGTCACTGTGGGTTACACACTTTAACCCACAGGAAACCAAAAGAAAGCTAACTGTAGTCAAAGCTATTTGTGATTGGTACTTGCTTATGCAAATAGACAACTAGGGTGAAAAGAAACAAAACAATACCAAACAGTAAGATAAATGTTTTAATCTTCTCTATAACTGGAACACACTTTTGCCATATTATTACTATTTTATGCAGCACAATAAATATAATTATTTGTTTCATGCCTTATTGTCTTATAGAAAATATAACAATATCAAATTTGGGAGAAGGTCTCATGTAAATAGAAATGTTCTGTTTTAAATTTCTAGAAAATGTCAATGTTGAAATCGCTGGTTTAGTGTAAATATTGTTGTGTTTTGTGTGTACAGGTATGCATCCATAAGCAGGCTTTCGGGCTATGCTTTGTTGTGTTGACTGACATTTAAGCAAGCATATAAAATCAGTCACTAGCCAAGTGAGACTCAATCTTCATCATAAATGCTATGCTGAAAACATTTTATAGTCACACAGCAAAATGCGCAAGGTTTCTGTCACTTTACAGTCTGTGACGTTTGTGAGAGGTAAAGGTGCTGTGGCTTATCTCCTATTAAAAACAATTATTGACTGGCTTTTTTGCTGAACTGCTATCTTTAAAAGAGGCTTTTTGTAACAGAAACATGAAGGATGCCATGGCTAACCTATTACTGAAAATGCCTATCATCTGGTCCTCTGAATTCAATACCCTGAGCCACTAAAGTGGAAAAAGTATACAGGACAGGGTTTGTGACTAGACTGACTTTCCTGATCTGCAAACTTTTTACATAATACTGACTTACAAAGTATTGAAGCAAGTGTGTAAGCAGAATAGCCAGGCAACTAGCATATTTAGGAAAAAGTCTGCAATGGCAGCTGTGAGGTTTACTTTAATACTTTGTGAGCCACTGGCCCATTTAAAAAAAGAAGCTGAGAAAACATGTAAGTGTCAGAAGTCCTTATCTGTATACTTGTTCCAGGTCAGTGACTCAAAGCATCAAACTAAGAGAATGACAGCCGGGCACCTAGCATCTTTGGAACAAGAGCTCCTCAAAGAGCGCCTCCATGGTTTTTCTTATGACAGCTTTCTTTAAAAAAAACCTACATCAGTCATCAGTATGGCCTTGGCAATATGGAGCACTGTATTTGAGAAATAATCATGATTTATATTAATAAAATATACTACTTTATCCAATACAAAACACACAACAGTCCTGACTGATGTCATTATTGTCAATAACACTTTGTATATGCTGATTCAGTTGGTCTGAAACTGACCAACCTCAAAAGCTGTACCAGTCCTCTTCCAAGAATCAATAGAAATACAGAGGAGCTGGCAGAGGGAACTTGTACAGCGAGTGCAATGCAAGTACTCTCACCACCTCTTCAGCTGTACAGTTCTGGTGTCCAATATCCAAGGAGAGGTATGGAGGAAAAGAAGAGCAGTTATGGAAATCTGCTAAGAACTGTAGCAGAAACAGTTATATTCTTACATAGTACAAAGTTTACACTTCCAGAGAAGGACATCTATAGTAACTCCTTAAATGATTATATTGAACCTTACAGAAGTACATTTTCTTCCATGGACTCCTTTAGCAGTTCAGGTCAGCAAATGTAATAACTCTTAAGATTTTTTTACAACACATCTTGACCAGTTTTGTGATCAGTAACACAACTGCCATGGACGAGATACATACAACCTGGGACTAGGGGAAAAAGAAAACTGGTTTCTATTTTTCATGCAGATACCTTAATACCTGACAAAGTTCCTTTAAAAGGAAAACAGAGAATAATAATATAAATGCTACACAAATATGTTTGCAATTTAATATTACAAAAGTGACACTGTCACATTAAAAATAAAACCTATTGACAGGTATAAAGGTGCCTGCACATACCTGGAGTTTCAGCCCTCCCACTTTATCTGAATGCTGAACCGTCCTGTTTGAGCAAAGCATTGGCATTTCTAGGTATTGTTAAAGCCTGCCTGCCCCTCCTGCATCTCACACAATCCTATTATACAGTGAGGCAGCCTATCATAAAGATAAGCCAAGGAGAATATATGGGTGGCAAGAGGAAGGGGGCAACTTTGACTAAAAGCTATTGAAACTTTGGGTTCCCTGCACGTTAGGGAAAAAAAAAAGAAAGATTATGACGCTGTCACTTTAAGCATTACTTTTGCGTTTCAGTCTACAGCCAGCTATGATTTTCTAAAATTGACAACAAAGTTGAAATTTCTTTTGCTGGGTACTCAGTTAATAGAAAACACTTCCCAGAATCCTCATCTTGCTGCTCCTGTACATGGCTTTTGGTCTTTATCAGAAATGTGCAAATCATTATATTATGTGCATTCTGGCAATGTCCTTAGGTCTGCTGAACTAGAGTTTTATCTTTGATGAGATAATTGTACTGTCTTAGGTGCATCATAACCCACAGGGGTTATTGCAACATAGACTTTGTATTTAAAACAATAGATACCCCTCTCCCATGTACAGCACTGATTTTAAAAGATAGGAGTAGGTGAATTCACGTGGCCTATCTCCAGAACCACAGAATTGAAGTTGGTAAAGATTTTCAATAGATATTCCAAAATCCTTGTAAACAAGAGACTTACACTGATGTCTTAAGAGTTAAAACAAGGGCTGATAAAGAACTGATAAGGTCGTTCAAGGTGTAAATCTTACTTCAGTGCCCCTGTTTCCTTCCCATTTCAGCTTAACTCCATCACTTCTACACATGCTGTGCATCAGCCAGAATTTACAGCATAAGTCTACAGGTTATCTTCTAACACAAAAAGAACAAAGCATACAAACTGTAGGAGGATGTGCTGCATCATTAGAATGGCTCAGACACAAAGAGCTGAGTAATATTTACACTGATACCTTCCTTGACCATTTGGTGAAGTTTTTTTTTAATTAAAACTCAGAATAAAAAAATAGGAGGTACCTCTGTATATACAAGAACAATGTTCTAATAGCCAATTCACATGAATAATATGATGGATGGATTCCTCTGCAATATTTATCTCAGCTTCTTTTCTGAAGCCCCTGTTCTGCATACATGAAAATCGATGGACTGATCAGCTATAGAAATGGAACAAGGAAAAACATGGAAACCTAGTTCATAATGTACACACTTGATTTCTTTTCAAGGAATATGGAAGAGTGAGAATTTGATTCTACTAGAAGTGGCATGCTTGTATAACACAATATCAGAACATGTTACAATCACTTTTCACACAATTATATCAATCCGATCTAATGGCAACCATACAGAACTAATATCTCAGGCGCCAAGCACCCTGCAAAATATACTTGCCACGCAGAAGATAGCTCCCATAAAACAATCCAAGCAAAACACCCAGCACCTAGCAAGTTATGCCACTCTAAAGGGGGAAGTATATTGAAAAGAAATAAATCAATTATTTATAATCTATACTGCTGTGAAAAAATGCAAAAAGCATTATTCATGATGGTTTGTGCAAAGAGTTAGGAGACAGAGGATGCATTCGGTGTCCAGCCCATCTGATAAGCCCGTTCCAGAGTCCTTTTGCAGTCTTGAAGAACAGTACTAAATGTAATGTGTGGATATTGCTGCACCAGTTGCTCTACTGTGCTTTCGTTCACCTGCAAAAACAGGAAAAAGACACAACTGTTCATAAAGAACTCAAAATAAAAAGTCAAACTGAAAACCATAAGTGAATTTACATAATATCAGGTTATGTCCAACAGGTATTCTTTGTTTTAAATGTGTACAAAAGAAGTCCCTGTATTGAAGATTAAACCTTCAGCACCTCCAATTCTCAGTTTGTATACTAATTAATAATATTGAGTTGGAGTCTACAAAGTCAGTGTTGGTCCTGAACATGCAAAAACTACTGTTACCTCCATCCAGCTACGTCAATGCACACAGTGGCTAGCTGCAGTGGTACTTATCAACAGTATAACTTATGCTGGAATGATCCTTTCTTAAGTAACATATTGATGCCCTTGACAAGTGTTCAGGAGCAAAAAAAAAAGAAAAAAGTTTATAATTTATCATATCTGCTTACAACAAAGAATACATGATCTGTCTGGTCAAAAAGATGTGTGCAAGGTTATACCATAAAATGAACAAAAGAGGGCACATAACTAAATCCAGCCCTGATTTGTATGTATCAAGGTTGGCCAAGTACTTTTCATGGCATACAACATGTATAATTGTTTACTATTTCAACATGTGCACTAGATGCTGCCCTTCTATCTGAACATAAACTGTAGCTTATGGTTTTTGGACAGCATTTAAACCATTCAACTCAGTGCATTAATATGTCCTGGTGTTTGGGGAAACTTAACAGGGGTCAGGACTGCTTACCAAACAAATAAAGAGGAGACCAAAATGGCAATAAATGTGTAGCAGAAACCATAATTTACAAAGGCATACTACCAATGGCATTTCACGGTTACACAGGGTCCCTTTGTTAAGGTGTCACCTTGATAAAGGGCTCCCCGTATGGCCCTAAAATGCCACTGGTGCTGCCATGCACCCTCACATGTTCAGACTGTAAGGGGTTATAGTGCAGGATGGAGTTAGTTTCCACATGGCTTGTGGACCTTGGCTTGTGGACAAGCCTTACACCCGAATCTAGTCCACACCTATGAGTGACTTCACCATGATTTACACCACGGATGCCTAATGATATCTGGATACCCCTTGATATTTTCCTGAGATTACCAAAGGAACCATCGGTATTGATAGCGCTACGTGAGTATATTCATACTCAAAGCATTCTGTACGGCCGTACATGCTACTCGGAAATCATTGAGAACATCTCTGCTGGGATCCATTACTTCATCAATAAGGTCAGTGTCCTTTGATGTATTTCATCCAGTGCTTACTGGTAATCATTCAACTTTTACTTGATTCACACTTATGAAGTTGTGATACAGGCTGGACCCTGGCGCTTGGATTATTAAGATATCGTGAGTACGCTGGCTCATTTGTGTGTGAACACACAGAGTTGATTCTACCATAGACGACTTGTTTGAATGACTCTTCCATTGTATACTGGAAGTCTGTGGAGATAAATTTTTTCCACCTATATTTGTTATGGAGTTGGATCTCTATTGGATTCGGATGTTCGAGGGGTCCATATTGCAAATGCTCCAATACACTGAGTGGCCAGATTATTATGACCACCCCATCAATACTTTGTTGGGCCATGAGATGACTTCGTTGTGCCGCCTCGTGACTCCACGAGATGTTGAAAGGTGATGTGAGGAATCTGACACTGCACTGTTGCCCTTCTGTTGTCTTGTACCAGTCTTGTCACTCTCCGTTCTGCCCTAACATTGACTAGTTGCTGACGGCCACAATTCGCACGTTCAGAAGCAGATTTTCAGCTGACAGTCCAGTCTTTAAACACTTTAACAACAGCTGCCGTTGAACATTTAACAAATTCTGCTGTTTTGTTGATACTTGCTCCATGGCTTGAGCGCCAACAATCATCCCACGTTCAAAGGCTGTTAAATCGTGTTGTTTATCCATATCTTCAGAAAAAAAATTACTTCTACTGTCGTGGTAAACAACCTGCTTCCCTATTTATAATAGTCTGGCCCTCTAGCAACTTCAGCGCAAAATTATAGCTTAATTGCCTACAAACATCAGGTGGTCATATTAATCTGGCCACTCAGTATATATGGTTACCCGAGGTTTGTGAATGTGCAATACACACAATTTACAGGTTTTAACATGATCCATTATTCATGTTTGTCTTGATACATTGTTTGTTTAATAAATGATTTGCCTTTTATACATGACTACAGAGTTGCATTATGAGCTTGATGGTGGGATCTCTCTAAAAGGGGACATGTGGATTTTTTGATAATATATAGGAGACCCACCATTAGTACATATATTATTAAGATTACTGTGATTAGAACCC